GAGACAACAAGGTGCAGGGCTGCTTGGCCTGCTGTGTTCATCCAGCCCTGCACCTTGTTGTCTCGGATTCTCCAGCATCTGCAGTTCCTACTATCTCTAACTCATTGTCAGTTTTGTTTTTGTTGATTGGTAATTTTAATTTATCACATCAGCCTCCCAGGTTCCATGAGGAAAATATGGTTAAGTTTTACTACATGTACATTTTTAATGTTTATCGTTCTAAGAAACAAGTTTGTGTGCCATTTTATTGTTATCTTAAATTTGTTGAATATTTACAATCTAACAGAATGAAATAGCTCCACGTTTCCTAGTTCATCTCCTCACTCCTGGTATTCTAATTTGAAAGCTTTTGTGTATTAGTGCTTCACAGACCAGGCTCAGTGCTGTTATTTAACTGAGAGTACATCTAGTGAAGAGTGGACTTGTAGATTGCTCCCTTCCAAAATTGAGTTGTTTTAGAGTTTAATGAGCTAGACTGAAATACTAAAACTTACTGATGTGTCACTGCTAGTTCAAATAATTAGTACTTTTACACAAAAAGCACAAAACCACACCATTTTAATTATTGGCTTAAATTGCTTTTTCATGTGTGTATCATTTTCTGATGTACTGAGTAAGCATTCACTGTGAATAACGTGACTGGATAATGTCAATATTCTTTGTGATCTTGAAAAAACAAAGTAAATCACTTCTGTAGAAAACAAACTTAAGTTTTAAATCATTCTTTTAGCAGCACCATGTGGCAAAAAAGCCAATTGGTTATGATTTCCTTGGGTGCCTTTATAGACAAAGCAGAATTTGGGTTTACCCTACTCCTAAAATGAATTTTTTTTTATATAGAAGAATAGAATCAGTGTGGAAACAGGCCCTTCGGACCAACAAATCCACACCGAACCTCAGAGCATCCCACCCCGACTCATCCCCCTCTATAATCCACCTAACCTACACATCCCTATGGGCAATTTAGCATGGCCAATTCACCTAACCTGCACATCTTTGGACTGTGAGAGGAAACCGGAGCACCCGGAGGAAACCCACGCAGACACAGGGAGAATGTGCACACTCCACACACAGTCGCCCGAGGCTGGAATCGAACCCGGGTCCCTGGTGCTGTGAGGCAGCAGTGCTAACCACTGAGCCACTGTGCCGCCCATATTTCTTGGCCATGATGCAACGATTGACATTTTTGACATAATTGACATTTACAGACCCCCTCCCTACCTATTTCCTGAACACTCATCCTTGCTTCCCTAATTTCCACATATCTTGGCACATTTTATTCAAGTACATTGTCCATTCTAAAAGATCACTCCACCAGTTTTTCAGAAAACCTTTCTTCATTTCCACATCTAAATCTGTCTTCATTTGCAAAGATCATCAATATATTGTCAGCAGCCCCAGCTAAAAATTCACCTATACCGGTGATCTGATTGCTTAGCTATCTGTGGCACCAAGGAAAGGTCATCATCAGACTGCAACCATATTGTTCATCAAGGTTCGCTCACTTACCCAAGCATTAGTATGCTTGGTGACTGTGTTCTTTTCCTGGAGGATGTCATCATTTCTTTGTGTTATGTTTGGAGCAGGACTCTTCTGGAACAGAGAAGGAAATATTACGAGTAATGTAATCTTGTATCCAGTCTATGTAAAGAATATCATAGTTTATCATTTTGAAATTAGTTCTGTTTTTCCACTTAGGAGTGGCCATACGTTACTGGCATTTTGGTTCTCTCGACAAGAAAACAAACTAAACCGCCAACAGACCATTGAGCTGGGACACCACATCCTTAAAGCTCACATATTCAAGGTATTTGGCTCTGTATGAAACAGGTTTGAAGAGGTCATGTTACATCACTGTTGTGTGTGCATGATGTGAATGTCCAGAGAATAACTGATATTTTCAAGATACAGCTGATATGGGACCAAATAGCATAGAAACCCAGATTAATATTCAGGAATGAGTTCAAATCCACTCCGTCCCTGCCCAAAACAGCTTGCAGAATTCAAATTCAATTAATAAATCTGAGATAAGATGCTGGTCTAATCATAATAAATATGAAATTACTAGATTACCTTTAGTGAGCTTCAGGTGTTGACATTGAGGACATCAAGCCAACCCAAACCAAGTCAGCCTCCCTTTCCCTGGATTCACAATACTCTAAAAGGAAAACATTGAATAACCTTCAATTGTTCAGTTGTTCCTAACCAGACGGAGGAATAACAGATACCACACACCAAGCTTATAACTTAAACAAAAGTTAACAATATATTATTAATAATGTAACTTTAGCAGAATATGGGTGAATAGCAAGGCAATGTGCTTGGTAGCTATGATCTAAGCCCAATCTTCTTTAACCAGAATGCCCCATTCTCACACCGACAGACATAGTTAAGGGATAAACTAAAAGAAAGAAAATAAAGGATTGTAATTTGCCAATGGGTACCAGGTCTTCAGAAATCCTTGGTTAATGGAGTTGTTCACGGGCAAGTAAACTGTGGGTCTTACCTGAATTCTGAAGTCACCAAATCGTGCAAACAGATCTAGTAGCCTTCCAGGATTATTGAGCCACTTCTTACAGTGGACTATCTTCTTATCACAACAATCAACAATTTAACAACTGTAGTGAAACCAAACAGAGAGAGAGAGAGCGCAAAGCACAGCAGCACCATCCAGAAGTTTTCTTTGAAAACACATCGATGGCTTCGAAAACCCAGCCAGAACTAGAGAGTCATGAATACAACCCAGTTTATCAGGCAAACCAGCTTCCCATCCATTGACTTGATCTGCACTTCTCACTGCAATGGGAAAGCAACCAACATAATCAAAAACCCCTCCCACTCTGGTTATATCCTCTTCCATCAGGCAGAGGATATAAAAGTTTATATACATGTACGAGCAGCTTCTTCCCTGCTGTTGTCAGACTTTTGATTGGACCTCTTTAATGTTAATGTTGATCTCTCTCTACACCTTCTCAGCAGCTGTAACATTGTATCCTGCACTCTGTTCTGTTACCCTGATGCACTTGTATAGTATGATCTGCCTGTAAAGCATGTAAAACAACAGTTTTCACTGTACCTCGGTACATGTGACACGAATAAATCAAACCAACTCAAATCAGAACTGGTTCACTCTTCTAACCTCTGTTTTTACCAACATTCTCTATGATTGGCTGGTCAGCACCGATCTGCTCTTGATTAACCAATTCAACATCCAACCAGTTGCCAGTCCTGAGCCCAGGACATCCCAGTGCAAAAGTGGTCTTAAGAAATTGGTTAACCTGTAAGTATGTTTCCAAGCCAGTTCCCGTAAACAAACATCCATTTTTTTGCCCCCTCCTTTCCAAAGCAAGCTGCTGCTCAAAGTTTAATTCTCAACTTCAGCTCACAGTTCGAAACCAAAAATGCAAATACAATAATGTAGGTCTCAACAGGTGTAAATCTAGTGTCCTTACTTATTCTGGCCTCTATGTGACTCCAGACTTGAAGCAATGAGGTTGCCTCTTAACTGCCTCTGAAGTGGCCCAGCAATCCACTCCATTATATCAAACTGCAAGAAAAATATAGTTCATATTATTGACTGTAAAGGTCCAAAAAGGTAACTCGCAACTAAGTCTTGAGCAATTAGGGATGGGCAACAAATGCTAGCCTTTCCATCACTGCTCACATCGAATAAACAAGTGAAAAAAAGACAATTATTTGTATTGGCAGATTGAAGTGCTGCTACGCCATTGTATGGTATTTGCACTGCTACCCACCACAATCCATATTATATCCCCTCCCTTTCTGTGAAAAGGTCTTTCCACCAGGTCTTCCCCTAACAATGTGGTCAGGTCCTGAATGCATTGTGTCAAAAAGGTCAAATCCTGTCATTCCTTGGAACAGTGCAATAAAGGGAACAATGCAAGAGTCAACATAATCAATTAATAGTTCACAAGTGGAAGCATTTGTGTTCAGGGCATACAAATGCCTGGTTTGGCCACATCTGAAGTATTGTGTCCAGTTCTGGTCATCTCATTACAGGAAAGATGTGGAGGCATTGGAAAAGGTGCACAGGAGATTTACCAGGATGTTGCCTGGAATGGAGGGAAGGCTTTATCAGGAAAGGTTGATAGAGCTAGGGCTTTTCTCTTTAGAACGACGAAGGATGAGAGGTGACTTGATAGAGGTGTACAAAATAATCAGAGGAATAGATAGGGTGGACAGCCAGAGACTTTTTCCTAGGGTGGAGGTAGCTATTACAAGGGGGCATAGTTTTAAAGTGAGTGGAGGTAGAAAGAGGGGAGACATCAGAGGTAGGTTCTTTACTCGGAGAGTGGTCGGGGCATGGAATGCATTGCCGGAGAGGGTAGTGGAGTTGGCCACATTAGCGGCTGTTAGATAGGCATATGGATGATAGTATAAGGTAGGGGTGGAGGTTAGATAGACCTTAGGATTATGGTAAAAGTTTGGCACAACATCGTGGGCCGAAGGGCCTGTACTGTGCTGTACTGTTCTATGTTCTAAATTAGAGGCTTAAATAATTGGCACTGTTTCTTTTGATCTTGTATGGTTTAAATATATTTTATAACCATATTCCCTTGGGGATTTGTATCTCCTTAATATTAGGATTTTGTTTTTTGTATGATATTGACTGCTTGATGGAGGAAGAATATAGATTAGGAGAAATAAACAATCATTGCTCTTTATGATGAGTACAATGCAGCTGGAAGCTGATGGCAAAGTTTGCGTAACATATACGAAGTGCAAAGGAGTTAACACTGCTACATGCCCAAACCAGGCAAGAGTAACTTAGCCTTTCAACCTTAATGCACTTGAACATTTAACATAATCATATTCTGTTTCTGGCAGGAAAAGCAATTCACTGTTTTTACTATTTCTCTTCAAGGGTCTGAGCAAAAAAGTTGGTGTTTCTTCCTCAATACTCCAAGGGTTGTGGATATCTTACAGCACGGAAGGGCTATCCACTGCATTAGCATCTTTACGAAATTTATACACTCCAAACATCAAGGTAAAGCAATATCTACTGGCTAATTCTGGCTATCATGTAATGTTTTTAGCCCTGAATTTGAATCCAGCCCATAGTAAGAGCCATGGATCTCAGTTTTGTTAACACCTAGTTTTTTGGGCACTGGCGCCCAGTTCTATGTGTGCATGAATTTGTGGCATAAGAGCACTTTATATTTGGCAATGGTCTTGTAACTTAGAGAACCTGATGCCAAGCCAAGTATTGTACAGCAATGTTGTAATTATCCCTCTGTGTTAATTGTTGCTTTCAGCACTTAATTCAGTTAAGTGAACGGTAGTGACTTAGTAAGTCTATAGCATATCTTGAAGGTGAACTTTGATGCTTACACGGGATTCATTTTCATTATGTGGCAAATAATGTTTGCTGGGAGCAGCAAGAAAAATATCTGCATGAAACCCCTGTCCCACTTTGATAGATCGGTCCCACCTGCCTTTCTATCTTATCTTACTTCCTTTTCCACTAGATCATGTCTCGTCTTAATATGTGACCCCAATACATGAATACTTTATAATATTAAGAATCTATCCAGCACAAATATTTCATAGAGTTCCAGTTTGTGGCTATCTTTCCATTCTGTGGGCTACTTTCTTCTTCCCATCTGACAAAACTCTGTTTGTGACTAGCCTCTGTTTTTAAGCCAAATATCCACCCGACTTCATATATCACATTTCAGTCTTATCTTAACTATCAATGGCAGAGATGAAACCTTTCCAGAAGTTTTCCAAAATGCCAAATGATTGCATTTCCCTGTCCACCAAGACATTGATGTTTTTGAAAGCCTGTAACATGCTGTTGAAACATAAATCCATGATGACATGTTGAGCGTATTCACGCTCGTGATAAAATTATTCAATTTTGTACTTTTAATATATCAAAGTTTTGGATCCATAAAATACAAACTACCTTCTCACTGATGTATTTGCTGCTGAGCTTGGAAACAGATGGCAAGCTTAATTGTTAGTGGATATGAAAATCTTGTACAATTATTCTTATTGAGCACTTTTTAAAAAAGATGTCAGTCTGTGGTGCCACATATCTTTCATCATTTGTGTTTGTCCTTCTGTTCAAATTTCCTCGTATATGGATATAAAATGATGTATTTAAGCATCATTGCTTTGATGAAGGGAACTATTTTAGATTCAACCCTTCGAGCCGGTTAATTCTGTTAGATCGTTGTCGCTGTCTTTAATAATCACTTTAAGCCACCTTGTATGTTAATTCAATTTCTTCTTTACTGTCATTTGTTTCAATAATTTCTCCAAGTCAGTTTATCTAATCAGCAATTGATATTTCAACACATTTTAAAAGGATCAAAGGAATTAAAAACAAGTTCATCATTATTTGGCAGTTCAAGTTCTCATCCTTCAGCAGCCAATTTGATGCAGGCAAAGATTTTTCTTGGCATTCAGCACACTCACTCCTCATGGAGTTTAGACAATCCACCTAATATACACATCTTTGGACTGTGAGAGGAAACTGGAGCATCCAGTGGAAACCCATGCAGATATGGGGAGAATGTGCAAATTCCACACAGGCTGGAATCGAACCGTTTTCCTGGTGCTGTGTGACAGCAGTACGTATCACTGTGTCACTGTGCTGCTCCCACTCATTTAAACTGAACAGCTGATTTCAGTTGACAGCAGCTGACTTGCACACCTCACCCATGCTTTCCTAACTGGTACGTTTTGATGTCCTTGCTTGTGCAGTAATTGTCATTACAAGCTGTGGGCTTACACTACAAAAACAAAAAGATTTAAAGGTGAAATTCCAAATTAGTGCATGTTTTAATGGGCATTGTCACAGAATTTGGGAATAACCCCCTTTGAAATGTTGTGACTGGGAAGATGAGCACAATTTTTACATTTTTCATCCATTGATGAATCAATTATTTAAATACATTTTTGGTTAAAGAAAATCAGTATCATCATTATATCCTTGTGCTCAAATCTTAAATACACAAGAGAAATAAGCTTCAAACACCAAATTCCTTCAAACTATGACTTCTGCAAGTCTAAACTTTGGACCTTTCTAACAAAGCTTTGAAACATTGAGGAATTTTTGAATTTGAATACAAAAGGAACATTACTGTAACGGTATGTTAAGTAATGGAATTGATTATCAGGTGTATTGTTGAGAATGGATTGTGGTTGGTTCGTTCGCCAAGCTGGTTCATTGTTCCGCAGATGTTTCATCACCCTCTTGGGTAACATCATCAGTGCAGCCTCTGATGAAGCGCTGTTGTTTTCCCACCTAGTATTTAAACTCTGGTGTCCGTTGAGTTGGGTTATCTCACCTCCGGTTTTCCTTCGCAGTGGAGTATATATAGGGTCTAGCTCTGTGTTTGTTGATGGCTTTTTTAGTGGAGAACCAGGCCTCTAGGAATTCCCGTGCTTGTCTGTGCTTCGCCTGTCCCAGGATCCTGGTGTTGTCCCAATCAAACTGGTGGTTTACCTTATCCATGTGGATGAAGGTGAGTGAGCATTGTCGTGTCTTTTTGTTGCTAGTTGATGTTTGTGTACTCTTGTGGCTAATTTCCTTCCTGTCTGTCCAATGTAATGTTTGTCGTAGGCTTTGCAGGGAATCTTGTACATGACGTTGGGTCCTGTCCGTAGTGGGTAACAGGTCTTTAGCTCAGGTTAGCAGTTGACATAGGGTTGATGTGGGTTTGTATGGTACTGTGCTGCCCAGTGGTCGTTGGAGTCTTGTGGTCAGTTCAGATGTGTTCTTGATGTAAGGTAGCGTGAGGAGTGTGTTGGGGCGTGTAGTATCTTCCTGGTGTCGTTCGTGTAATAGACATCTTCTCACCCAGCTGTACGGGTATCTGTTGTCCTTTAATATTTTAAGAAGGTACTCTTCTTTTTGGTGTAGTTCTGTGTTGCTGCACTGTGTTGTTGCCCATTTAAATAACGTTTTCACGCAACTTCATTTGTGGGTGTTAGGGTGGTTTCTGTCGAATAGCTTCTGTGAAACCATATTAAAGTGAAACCAACATGGATTTATACGCAAAAAATCTTTTCTGATCAACCTTGAGGAAGTGACATCCCAACTTGCATATGTAAAGGACAACAGCAACTTCTAACTTGAATAAAATGTAGGAGTGGATAAGAAGGAAAAATAAGGTTCACACTAATGACAGCTAAAGGTAGAACTGATACAAGGGATGAAAGCAGCAAATTGAGAGGAAGGAGCTGACAAGCAGGAGGGCTAGTAAATGAGAGGCCTCAAACAAGAAGGATGGGAATTTGGAGGAAAGCATCAATTTGAAAGAGGCAGTAAGCAGCAAGGAAAAGCTAAGTTGAAAGAGGTAATAACTTAAATATTAGTAAACAAATTATAGGGCCAATGTGAAAATTGCAAGTTGTCAACCCCACTCTATTACCGTAGATTTCATTGTAGTAAATCAACATTTGAAATCTCAAAATTTCTCCCATAATGTTGGTCGACTTATGCATTGAGTATAAAAGTGAACTACCAGAATAGGTGCAAAAACAAAGTTGCTGGAAAAACCCAGCAGGTCTGACAGCACCTGTGAAGGAGAAAAACAGAGCTAACGTTTCGGGCTCGGTGACCCTTCCTCAGAACCGGGTAGGTGGTTGCTATCTTTGTTATTCCCAATGTGGGATCTGCTCTGTATGGATGTGCTTAAACTGCTGACGATCTTCCGCATCCAGTTATATGATGGCTGTAAGTAGCACATCCATTTCTGGGGATGAAAAATTGGTACCAATGGTACTTGTGTATAGCATGTTGAAGCTAAAAATGAAGTTTACTGATGTATCAAGTAGATGCGGAATCATTGAGATGAAAAGTTGGGGTCATCTTTTATGGCGGGTGGATTTAGATGCCAGTCTAACCTGTACAACATGATCTACGGTACATGTTTCTTAATGAGAAAATGACTTATGTTTAGTATGTTGTTATTAAGCATTCATGAAACACATTAATGTTAAATGAGAGGTAGTTGTGTAAAATCAAGAGGTTGTGCGTATTTCATACCGAAGCTTGATTAGATAACAATTAGTTAACTGTGTGTAGTTACTAATGTGTTTATTTTAACAGTCATCTTGTGTTTTACAAACTTGAATGCCTTTAGAAGAAATAATTTACAATGAACCTATAAATATACCTTTTAAAATTATTCTTGGAGCCAAATTAAAATTTTTCAGTGCCCCAATAGGCCCCCTCTATTTATCTACTGAATATCACTGATGCACTCCAGGCCACTTTCAGCAAAGTACAACCTGCTATTTGCTGTCTTAATTGCAAATAAACATAGAAAATAGGAGCAGGAACAGGCCATTCATCCCTTTGAGCCTGCTCCACCATTCATGGCTGATCATCCAACTCGGTACCTTGTTCCCACTTTCTCGCAATACCCTTTGGTCTCCTTAGTGCTAAGAAGTATATCTGTCTCTTCCTTGAAAACGTACAATGTTTTGGCCTCAACCACTAACTAACTGTGGCAGAAAATTTCGCAGGCTCACCATTCTCTTGGTGAAGAAATTTCTCCACATCTCAGTTCTAAATGGTCTACCCTGTATCCCAAGAGTACAACTCCTGGTTCCGGACTCCCTGGATATTGGGAGCATCCTTCCTGCCTTTATCTTGTTGATAGGTTTCTATGGGATCCCCCTTCATTCTTTTAAACTGTAGTGAATATAGTTATAACTGATCCAGTCTCACTTCATAATCAGTCCTGCCATCCCAGGAACCATTCTGGTAAACCTTCTTTGCTCTCCCTCCATAGCCAGAACAGCTTTCCTCCGATAAGGAGACCAAACTACTTGTGATACTCCAGGTATGGTCTCACTTAAATCCCTGTACAATTGCAGCAAGACATCCCTGTTCCTGTATTTTAATTCTCCCACTCAGGCCAACATGCCATTTGTTTTTGTCATTGCCTGCTGCACCTGCATGCTTATTTTCAACAACCATTGTACAAGGACACCCGGGTCTTGTTTGAAGCTCCCTCTTTCTCAATC